TCAGTCAGTCCACCACTTCCAGGTGATATATGTCGACAACTGTAGGATGGATTACTGTGACATTTTGTAATGATATGCGTTGTACCCAGATGATGTCTCCCTCACTTTTCCTCCAGCACCAGCTGAGTTGACATTTTTAGTTTTAAGTCAAAATGTCTCAACTATTTGATGGATTGCCATGAAACTTTCACATTCGCACATCCACAGGTTGCATTATAATAACTACACTAACTTTTTCTCTAGCACCATCATCAGGTCAAAAGTTTAACTTGTCCAATACAAAACTAAAGACATTCCCATCAGCCCCAGCTGTGCTTTATATTAATTGCTTATTAGCAAAACTAAGATGGTAAACACTATACCTGGTGAACATCAGCATATTAGCATTGTCATTGTGAGCATTAGCATTTAGCTCTGCTGTGCTTAAGTACAGACTCACTGCTGCTAGCATCGCTGTGGACTCACAGATATCACATATCCAGATGATTTTTCCCACGGTGAGTGAAGCAGCCAATCTCACAATAATGCTTTAAGATTGCTTTCATGTAAGAAAACATATTACCCTCCCATTTCTTAAGGTTATTCACTGAAAAAGGGTGTGTTTTGAGTCCTGTATCATGGAGAAGACATTTCTGCAGTATATCATCCTAAAACCTTTGCTTTGTGAACACCAGAGTGTTTAGTTTTCCTTTTTTTGTGTTATTGGCTCCGGATATCAAAGCGCCTACTCCAACACGTTAGAGCGACTGTCTGTCAGACATATTAAAGAGTGATTTGCTTGTGCTCACACTGTAAAGAGCTGTGTAGGTGGAACTTACACCGTGTGAGGAGTTGCGATGATTAGAGTTGCTCCCAAAAGTTCTCTCTCAGTGTAATCCAGCTCTCTGTGTTTGACGCCTCAAGCTTGGTCATCGCATGGTGACTAAACTCAACTGACAGCTCCCCTTGGCCAGTTGAGACTGTGAGAGTGTGTGTGTTTAAGTGTGTCCTTTATAGGGGAATGAGACACACACACACATACACACACACCCACTCACGTAGTACAGTAAGGGCTGGCAGCCTTTTTGTACATGCATCAGTTCAGTACTCGAAAAAGGCGTCAAGTGCAGAGGGGGGAGGGGATGGTTGCCATGGCTACAGATTTTGGCTCTCTCTCTCTCTTTATTTCCGTGTCTCTCTCCCTGTCTTTCTCTCTCTTTCTCTCTCTCTTTCTCTCTGTCTGTCTTTCTGTCTCTCAGACTCCTTGTCCTGTCAGTGGGGGTTGGGATACATGGGATGGTTTGGTTTGTGAGCTGAATCCTGTAGTCTTGAGATGTCGGGAAAGTGAGCCAAGAGATGAAGCAGGCTTTAAGTGTGAAAGGCTTTTTCATAGTGATGGACCCTTACTCACCCAATCCATCCACCACAGATCATGTTCATACACCTTACCAGAGGGTGCATAGGTATATAATGTATTTCCAGGCTGTTTATTCAAAAAATTTTTTTTGTCTAACCTGCCTCTTTTGACATTCATTACAGCAATTTTACTAAAACATTCCTTTTCTTTTCAACTTCTTTATCCATTTAGGCCTTCGTAAAGTGTCACTTTGACTACGACCCATCCCATGATAACCTGATTCCCTGTAAAGAAGCAGGGCTTAGCTTCAGTAGTGGGGACATTCTGCAGATTTTCAACCAGGAGGACCTCAACTGGTGGCAGGTCAGTACTGTCCCCAGAATATTTCAACCACATACAAAGATATTCAACATCAATTGCTTAAGCTAAGACCAAAAAGAGTTTTTATTCACATGCTTGTCCGCTCATTCTTCTGCGTGTTTCCCCTCACAGGCCTGTCACATAGAGGGAGGCAGTGCGGGTCTAATTCCTAGCCAGCTGCTCGAGGAGAAGAGGAAAGCGTTCGTGAAGAGAGATTTGGAGCTCGCTACCACAGGTACGCCTTTCAGCAGCACGCAGCAGAGCAGAGAAGCACTTCTCATTATGCAGATTCGACGCAGACTCCTCGCTGCACAGACACACCAGCAACAAAGAGAACATCTGTTCCCCTCCATATCATACAAGCATTTCATCTGGCGCCGGGCCACTCATCCTCCTCTCACCTCTCCAGTCTGTTACTCTGTCAGTGAGCACTGGAGAACTGGTAATGAGCAACGGCGTGACTCAGGCGGCCTGATCCAATCTGCTGGTTATTAAGCTGCAGGGTCTGACGTTCACAAACAGCCCTCTCCGAGAAGGAGCGTTGATTCAGGAGTGGTGATAAGACCCCTGTGAATACAAAGCTGATCAATAATCATCTCTGTTCTTATGAGTTGTGGATTGAAAAGAGGCTGTGTTCCTTTAGATTTATCTGCTTTGTACCGAGTCCTCAACAGCCACAAAACAGGTGGTGAGTCACAGCCAGCCGCATGCCCTTCACTTGTGGAGAAGAGGAAGATGACAACCTAACTGTACTGCCCTTGGAGCCTGGGAAGGACACATCTGTCTCCTTGCACCCTTTCCACATATTATCCCAACTGAGAGCATGATTTGAATAAAAAATTCAAACTGGTTATTTTTGGATGGTGTGGTCAGGTGAAATTGTTGATCCAATTCCTATTCAATTTAGAAAAATACTTCTTAATTATCACTCTTGCTATAAGGTGCACACAGTATTTGTTGTATGAAAATGGACAACCGTGTTTGCTTCCATGTATGTCTCTGTTTAGAAGAAATTCTCCCTCAGTGGCAAAATAATCTGCCATATTGGACAGACGCTCAGCAGATCCCTAGTCACAGGTGTTCTCTGGCAGCAGACAGGCTGCATAGACTGATCAATATTGGTGCACAGTGCCACCTAGTGGTACTGTCTCCCTATGACCCTCTCAGACTTATGATTTATGACCCAGCAGTGTTTTCAAAGACATTTCACCTTGACAGTACATCATTTTAACAGGGACTTTGTTGAAGTGGCTGGCAGAGAAAAGCACCAGGGTTGTAGGTTTTATTGTGTTTTGTGTGTTGCTGTCTGTCTCAGGTCCTCTATGTGCTGGGATGGGTGGTAAGAAGAAAAAAAAGATGATGTATTTGACTACCAAGAATGCAGGTACTTCAAACTCACCACAGTCTCTGTTTTGCATGAATTGGACAGCATGTTTATTGTGTTTTATTGTGTTCAGCTCCCTAATTACTGGTTTCTGACTAGAATTTGATCGCCATGAGCTGCGGATATATGAAGAGGTTGCCAAGGTCCCGCCCTTCAGGAGGAAGACACTGGTTCTGATTGGTGCGCAAGGGGTCGGCCGTCGCAGTCTGAAAAATAAGCTGCTGGTGTCGGATCCCCAGCGCTATGGCACCACCATCCCCTGTGAGTGCAGCCATTCATCATCACGCTAAAACCGCATGCAATGATACAAAATCCATCTGTCATTGTGTAGCTTGCACTGTTTTTGTTTTTTAAATGTCTTTATTTGTCATCTTGGTTTCCAGTCTGCCAGCCTGTTTTGAAGTGTTTTTTTTTTCTATAATCTTTTTCTTCCCTTTCTTTTTGTGATTTCATCCTTCCATTTAACCAGTTATTGTCTGGAAATGATTTATATCTGCCTCTTTTAACCTTCAGTCACCTCCAGAAAACCAAAGGTGGATGAAAGGGATGGCCAGATGTACTCCTTTATGACCCGCAGCGAAATGGAGTGCGACATCAAAAACGGTCGTTTCTTGGAGCATGGCGAGTACGACGGGAACCTGTATGGCACCAAGATTAACTCTATACACGAGGTGATAGAAACAGGAAAGATCTGCATCCTGGACGTCAACCCACAGGTAGAGGAAGCTCACATATGTTTGCTTACCTTCGTTTACTTCTGTTCCTTTCTCATCCAAACTTCTATCCATTATTTATCATGTTTTCCAATGAAACTGCCTTAATGTTCTAAAGTCATACCAATTATGTACAGCTTGTTGCTACTGAAGTATTTTCAGGCTGATCATCAATATTTATTAGAAATGATCTCTTGATGATGATTAGCATTATTCGCTGGAAACACTCTGCTAATCTTATTTACACACATTAGCATATGATACATTGTATTGATACATTTGTTAGATGAAGATACTTCAGCTGCATTTTAATCACATTCTCAGTTTTATAATTGTTAGAATTTGCTATTCCCATTGCTCGCTGTGCATTGATGCAGTGACTGTGAAATATCTCATATACATTTGTTTTGTCTCTGAAGGCTCTCAAAGTCCTGCGGACGTCAGAGTTCCTGCCCTACGTTGTGTTCATTGAGGCTCCGGATTTTGAGGTTCTAAAAGCTATGAATAGGTCAGCAATTGAGTCAGGAGTGGTCACAAAACAGTTAACGGTGAGTGTGTGTTGTCTTAAAGACCCTGAAAACACATTCTCTAATTCATCCCTCTGCATAAACACACAGTTGCTGTTTCTGCTGTCTCTGTGCTCTTTGCACTGGGTTGATGTGGGCGGGGCTTTGTTGGTTGGTGAAAGGTGATGTGATGTATTTTGGTGCACTAATTAAAATGTAGCAACATCTGACTGAAAATGCGATGATAGCGGTGGTGGTTTTGCTTGTGTTGCCTTTTGAACAAATGTGATTACACCACACCCGGACAGTCCTGATGAAGCAGATTAGCGTTAGAGTGTTGAACTCTTAATAAATTATACCTTAAAATGTGTGTTTTTATTTTTTTTAATTTAAAGAGAAATACTTAGGATGTAGAACCAAGTTTTCAGGGGCTTCAAAAGTCTGTTGTGCTACCTTTAGAATCATCCAAAAGGTTACATGTTGTGCTCCTAAACAGTACAAACACTGAAATGCATCACAAGAAAAGCTCATTGTTTAAGTAACTGCAATACCAAATGAGTTGATTTACTCAGCATAGAGGAATGCTTACAAGAAAGTTGGATTTATGCCATTTCAATTATAAAAACTAATTAGATTTCAGTTGTGTACCAATTTTACTGCTCATGGCATTTAGTTTCACCTAATCATGTCACTGTCCTGCACCGCTCCCTACAGGATTCTGAACTAAAGAGGACGGTGGACGAGAGCGAGCGCATTAAGCGGGCCTATGGACATTACTTTGACCTCTGCATTATAAACGACGGCTTGGAAGCTGCGTTTCGAAGCCTACGGTTGGCGCTGGACAAACTGTCAATGGAGCAGCAGTGGGTGCCTGTCAGCTGGGTCTTCTGAAAGTCGCCAAGGGCTCAACAGCACGTTGCCAGGGCCTCAGGTCGAAGGTCGGAGGACGATTTCACATTGGTAGCTCCGGAGGGGCTGTCTTCATGCAGTTATTGGTGGTGGGGGTCTGTAGTGAAGGGCCAAGCATCATGATTCAGTGTGAATGACCAGCCTCATGTAGAGCATTTTTGTACAAACTTAGTGTTCCTCTGTTGAGCCTGATGTCAAGTTGTATTTTATTTGTCTGAATTGGAATGATTTTATTGATATCGGTTGAGAAGGATTTAGAGTCTATTATGAGGTTTAGTGCAATAGTGTGAGTGAGTGTGTGTATGTTATCATTAACGTGGAAATAGACGTAGAGTAAAGAATATGTTTCACAGATAACAGTGCTCTGTTGAAGGTTTTTGTTGAAGGATATTGAACTTTTTAGCCTTTCCTACTTTATGTAGTGTAATGTTTACATTGGATTGACAGGACAGATTGGTCAAGGAAAGATACCAAATGTCATATTTATATTAAATTCTCTATATTTTACCATTTGATCATACAGTATGATTGTATGTGTTCTATCTATGAAATGTGCTTTATCTTGTATGTCTCCACGTATTTGAAAAATGAACAGCAATAGTTAATTTAAAAAGAAACATACATGCAATATATCTACTCACACACGCTCAAATGAACACACACACTGATACGTAAACACAGCGAGAGCGGTGGAAAACTTTTGTTGAGACATTTTGCATTAATTTAGAAGTCTCGTTTTTTTTTGTTTCCTTTTCAGTGTTGATTACATTGTACATTTGTTGTCTTAAGCTGGTAAAGCTTCCGGTTTGTTTGACAGTGAGGGGATCCAGTGAATGGATCACAGTGTCTGACTGCTGCCTGCTTGATTCTGTTGGAGTTTTATTTGTAGCACTGAGAACACTTAAACTCTCAAAGAAAAAACTATTAAGAAAAGAAGTAGCCTACAGTATGCACTGATTGTATAATGAAGGCAAAAATGACTTAACATTACAGGTTGGACAATTGATGGAAGTTGTCACATTTTTTGTTATTTTTGATGTACAAACAGTAAAATATTTATCAGTGAGTGGCTTCAAATTCATACTTTTGCCTTAACATGGTTCAAAAGCCAAGGAAACACTCTATCACTGTTCCGTCTTAGAAAATTGAAAAAAAATAATAATACTGGCAACTTATTTACTATTTATTTTATTTTCCCTAAAACTTGTAAGTACTGTATTGTAATAAAGAGTATATAGTATAACATAGAGAAACACTTGGTGCTTTGATGATTCTGCTGGTGTGTAGATGCAGTTTGACAACTACACTGTAGTTTTGATGTTCATATAAAAATGTATTAAAATTGAAAATGTTGAGAATATTGCTTCAATGTCTACAGTTAATATTAATGAAAATGAATATTTAAGTTAAAATCAAATTGTATAAAAACTATTTTTCAAAATACACAGAAGTAACACAAGGTGCGTCCTCAGCGTGTGTTGCCAGTTGTTTAACCGCTAGATGCCTGGTGTAACCTCTGTGGCTGGGGGTGGTTATGGGTGCTGCTTGAGGATGGTCGGGTTGTGTGCAGAGGTCCTGTGGGTGTTGTCCAGTGATGAGGTGCCAGAGGCAGTGTTATCGGATACATCTCGTAGGCAGGTGGCGCCCCCCCTGGCCAAACGCTTGTCAGCTTGGGGTCAAACTGCATGAAGGGAAGTTCAAAGTAAAATAATTACGCAATGTTTGTAGGCTATTGATATATAAAATCATATGAGCCATAAGCTGTAAATTACTAATGACACAGAACATTTTTCAGTGTTGAGAGAAAAGTTTGACATTTTGGGCTAATTAGGTTTCTAGCCGAGTCAGAAAAAGATTGATACATGCATGCTCCTATACACTAAATATAAAGCTACAGCTAGCAACCTCTTAGCTTATCTTAAAACAAAGACTGGCAACAGCTAGCCTGGGTCATGTCATGGTGAGGACAAGACTACACAAAGTCAGTGGACACTAATTCCAGTTATAATTAAATATAACATGGTAATTAGTGAACTTGATTTTAATTGAAGTTAAAAAAGTTGATAGATATTTGTCATCCACTTAAAGAACCATAATTTGTCTATCTAGAAGTTCATCTGATTTTGTGACTCAGAAAAAAACCCTCTGTGTTTAGATGTGTGTGCAGGGATCCAATAACAGTGGCTGATGGTAGCGAGGGCTCACGCACCAGCGAGTATGGTGGTGGGTGATCCACAGTGCTGTATCGAGGAGGGACTCTGTCGTATTGTCTTTCCTCTTCTGCCTGATCTTCAGGCAAAGAAATTGTATGGAGTACTGAAGATGTGTTGCCATGTTGTGTTGGCATGGTGACGTCATATGCTGCTCTTTTCTTTTTTGCGTGCAGATAGAAGCAGAGGAGTACCACAGCTATGGACACCACCAATACTGGGAATCTAGGAACACATTCATCATTTCAAGACTTAATTATTTTGTGTTTTGAGTAAACAATTCTCTCCCTGTATAGAGAGATTCATTCTTGATATGACTTGTCTACTTACATATATTGAAAGATATTCACTACCACAGTCATGGCTGGAATTTTGTCAACCTTCTGGCATTACTGTGAGGACAAGATAAATTAAAAGTGCAGAAATAAATACAAAAACAAATAAGCTGATTCGAAATAAATTCTTTGGACATGTGACTTACAAAAACAAACATCAGAGCCTTTCCATCTCAGTTTATGGAAGCCCATTGGAACAATTATATGAGACTTTGAGTGCTAACTATCTAAACAGAGGGTTGTGACCTATAGTGACCATGCAGAATGTCACCAACAAGCTTGCCACTTAAGAAATCTTTGAAACCGGCTCAGCAGTTTACAACTAAAGCTTAAATCAAGACGTTAGCAACGTAATAAGTGGCAGGAATGACCGGCATACTGTTTGACTTTATGCTGTCTGAGTTTAACAACAGACAGTGGACCTTCAT